AAATGTCATTTTAACATCTGCCTGGTTAGCACGAACTAACAGCAGCAGCAGCGACTGACATCCAACATCGAGCCGTTAAACATTCCCAACAGAATCACACCAACTCTGAAATGGCTTTACTCTGCCATTACCCCTTAATAATCGTTAGGTAACATTAGCCTGTCTTCAGCGCGGAGCTCACACTCCTGCGACAGCAGCCACAACTATTACTCTGTGGCGAGGTTAAGTTGAGTGCAGTGTAGTCGCAGACTTGGCAGTTCAATGTGTCGAGATGCCACCAAACTTTGTATGGCTGCACACCATTCATTTCACATTATGGGTGTCAAATGAAGTACTCTGTTAGTATCACTATCACTTCAAGGGTACTTGTATGGTATTTATTTTGACAAAGTCCCAGCCCTACACGTATGGGATGTGGGAGGCGGGGGTGAAAGTGCTTTTTTTTGGTTGTCACTTTGGGAATGACAGGTTTGAGTCATTCATTGAGGCTCCAGCTTCTCAATGAGCTTCTGTAGTTTGAAAATTAGCTAACTACTGCATTTGTTTTACAAAATTATGTAACTTGAAAATCTTCATCTTCGAGTAGATGGAAAATGTTGCACTGGGCTTTGGGAAAGTTGTGATGGGAATTATTTTTTAACATTTTATACACGAAATTGAAGAGGCTTTATGTGAAATTCAGAGCTTACGAGTTGTCTGGACACTGGTCTCAACATGGAGGTGGCTGAGCAGGCAGCTTGTAGCTAACGGTGCTAATTCCATTCCAACAGCAACAATGCTGACAAAGCTAATGGTGCTAACCAGGGGTGACCAGAGGGTGGGCACTATGTTTCTGTGACAACACCATCCTGATATCAGCGGTAACCACCGAATGAGCGCATTGCCAGTCCGCTCACATTCTCAGCTTGTCAAATACACCGACGCACAAAGGCATCTTTTGCGGAGGTATGATTTGCAGCTGGTAACAACGTTACCTTATACTTATACAACCTACAAGTCTGCTTAACTGAGGCCTCGTTCGTGGACATTATTTGTGCCATCTAGTCATAGTAAGACCACAATACACTAATCTATGATAGAACAAGATGGCTGCCATCTCTTCCAAGTCAGTCTGCAGGTCCAAAACCTGATCACATTTTATGGTTTATTTATGATTAAGAACATTCGTAGCATGATATGCAAACAAATGTTACAAATTTTAGCAACGGTAACAAGTACTCGTTTGAAGACATCGGGACTTTATTATCATGTCGTTTGAAGACATTGGGACTTTATTAGCATCAACAGTGTTTAGTTTTTCATACTTATCAGGTCCTACTAATCCCAGATAGCGAGGAGAAATTCGAAATACAAAAAAAGTCTGGGTCTTGGGAGGATTTAAGGAGCTAGAAAGCCGCTATGGGGTGGGAGCAAGGGGAGGTGGATGGGTCTGACGAACCCTGGACTTTAACCTGGAGAGCCTTTTTTCGGCTCCCGTGTGATGTTTTTTCTAAACCTAACCACATGCTTTTGTTGTACAAGGAAATAAACATACATTTTAAGGTGTTTTACCGACGTTGTACATTTATTTTTAAACACCATATGCATCTAACGAGCAAAAACTAAATTTCCTGTGAAAATGTAAGTGTATTCTGAAAAGACACAATGCATGTAAAAGGCATGCAAATTTTCATTGACAAGCCGTCTCAGAATGCCAATTACCAACTCAAGAGGATACCTAGGGCATTAAAAGTAGACCTGAAAGTCCACTGATCAAGTGGCGATATTTGAGGAGTTGGGATGAGAACATGTCAGCAGTGCAGAGCGGCGGCAAGTAGCTAGTCAATGAAATACACACATGTGCTAACATTTATGTATGACTAGACCAGCTCACCACAACAAAAAACAGAGAAGCTCAGATTACAACACACAGTGTGACTTCATTCTCTGCTCAGGACGCCATTACTCCACCTTATCTTTACTTAGCAAACAGTGGTTTGCTGCTATATTATTGTTCTGAATGTCACATACAACTACTTTAATCAATTAAAAGAAAAAAATCTCACATAATGACAATTACCATTTGCTGCAACCTGACTTTATGTACTGTATACATGGTATGGGGTCAATTATACAGCAGTAACGTGTAACAAAGTCAGATGTACATTTGTAATATTAAGTATTATAATGGCTCTCGTAGTAATTTCCATGTTTTAGTGCCGTTAAACTGTTTATAAGTTCATTTATCAGCTTAAACTCATGGTACAATATGCTAACGTATTCCTTTTGTAGGGGCTCGAGTTATATGGTCGTAACTGACGGAGGATTTTGTTTTTACCTCTTGCTGTGAGGAATAAATGGAGATTGTCTCCAAAGATATGCGCGGCCTGGGCCTCTTCACATCAACACATCCCAGACATCACTAGAGTCCATCGGTTACACATATATATGACAAAACACAGACATCTCAAAGGACATATTTTATTTGCAAATGGAATTCAAAAGCACACTCTTTTATATTTCCTGTTTTTATTGCTCTGATATTACGCCCATAAAGAGTGACATTGTTCAGATCCATTTGGATGTAGTAGCCACAAAAGCCAAGCTGCATTTGCTGGCTTGCAAATGTGTGTGCTGCACAAAAATATAGAAAAATATATGTCATTACTGAAGGAAAAGGAGACGAGGAGAGGGAGATAAATGGAACGACAGCATGACCAGAATGTGCAAAATTCTGCAATGCAGACGAGCCACTAGAAGCCAGCGGTTTCTAAACACAGAGTAAACAAGCAACAACCTAATTAGCAGGAATGCTCGTCTGTGGGAGTAAGAAAGACAGTAGTGTGTCGGGCTGAAGCATAATGTTTAGTTTCACCACGTGGTTGTTGACGGCGGAGGAAGGTCAGAGCTGGGCCATGTGGATGCTATAAGCTGAGAGGGGCGTGTGATGTGGCAGGGGACGGCTCCTAATCTGACCGAGGCATATAAAGCAGATGTAGTGCCCCATGTTGCAGATGGGGGGCATTGTAGGACCTGAGAATCTGGAGAGATCCAAGAGAGGAGGAAAAAAAGGGATCTGGGTGAGATTGGTCCCCACCGCCAGAGCTTCCAACGGTTGCTCTCCCTCACTCGCACACACACACACTTGCCCTCCTCTTTCCCGCTCTCTCACACACACACACACACACTCTCTCATCGCCTCTCAGTCACTCATTCTCCGGCGCTCTCCTGTTTCATCTCTCCACCGTGGAGCGCGCAGAGAGAGGATTCGTTTTCCCGAGCTGACTGACTGGCTGGCAGCGGCTTGATTATTGGGGGCAAACAGAGACAGAGTTGGGGACCTGAGGGACAGGACAGCAAAAGGAAGGGGAGTCCAGAGGGAGAGGTCCAGCGCGAGATTTTCCTCCAGCGGAGATTATTTGCATCACAAAACCTGTGGAAAAGAGGACTCTGACACTATACTGGCTGCACAACCGCTGTCCACACAAGAGGTGCCATTTAGCGTGTTAATATGTGTGTGTGTGTGTGTGTGTGTGTGCGTGTGCTCACCTTTTCAGGATGCAGATTCGTCGCCTCGGCTTCTTTTCTCATGTAAATCTAAAACCGACCGCTCTCCACGTCTTTGACAGAGACGGAGCCGGTGTCTGTGATTCAGGTTTGCATGATGATAACGCGGCGCTCCGTGAATTAGTTCAGCTCTGGTCGATCAGTGCATGTTGGTGTGTGTACGTGTATGAGATCACATGACAGAAGAACCCCCCAGAATGACAGAAAACTTCCAAACTGGGCTGTTTTTGAACCCTTCATCAAACCCCTGACAGTCTCACCCACCTTCCGTCTGAGTGATCTGACTCTGGATTGCATGTGTGTTAATGCTGCAGCTGTCTGCACATGTGTGATGTTGACATGTATGCTCCTCAGCGTATCATGCTTGGATGTCAGTGCTTCAGGATCACGGAGGGAAGAAGATGAAAAGGGGGGGGGGGGGGGGGGGGGGGGGGGGGGGGGGGGGGGGGGGGGGGGGGGGGGGGGGGGGGGGGGGGGTGCTAAATGCTGTGTGGCACTGTGCCAAGTTGCTGCCTAAAAGAGGATGCTGAAGGTTATGTCTCTCCAGCCTGTGCACCCACTCCGTCTGTCTCTCTTTACTTCTATGCAGAGGAGTAACAACAATGACAAGTGTGTTGGTTAAAGCGGCACCGTGAGGACTCCCTTAAGTAACGTCAGTCGAGCCCCCCCCCCCCATCCGTCCTGTCCTGCCTCCATTTGATATGTGATTATATGAGTGTGTGGCAGAGTAGACAGATGGAGTATATGTTGGGGAAAGGGGGGGGCGGACTTCTTGTTTTAGCTCGCTCCCCCCTTTCTACTCCCCCATGGGATTTGCCCTTGCCTTCCATCTCTCCTACCTCCATTTCTCTGTCGCTCCCTCCATCACTTCCTTTTTTTTTATCTTCTGTCCTGCTGAGCCAGCGAGATTTACTGGTTTAAAGTGGAAGTCCATCCACAGAACTGGGACGGGGACAAATGGGAGTAAAGACAGCCCCCCCAGGGGGTGATTTATATGTAGACATTTCTCCACACGTGTTTGGCCACCGCTCCAATTAACACCTCCACCAATCCATGGCTGCACTTGACAGATGCTGAATCCGAGCGAGGGCAGAGTGTGTTCATTAGTGTCGGCTGTGTTTGTTTGTCGGGGATTTAGCGAATTCAAATTGTTTGCTGTGGTTTTTTCAGCTGATTTCTGGGTCATTTTTTGTCGCAGCAGTGTTTTCGGCTCCCTCTGCTCTGCTGTTGAAGTTTTGAAAATTGCACAAACAACAGAGCGAGTCGAGCAATTTATTTCTGGATATTTCCTAAACACATCCAGCTGTCCCCGTTTCTGATCAAGGGCTGAGTAGGTTATTTTTCTTCCAACCATTTCTTCACTGCCAGAGCAAGAAACAGCCTTTGGGTGTCAGAGTGATTGATTTGACGGAGGAGGTTTTGATTCTGATTCCCGTCTCTTTTGTTTCCTCCAGGGGGTGTGATCGACAAGGACCTGCGCCACTACCTCAACCTGCGCTTCCAGAAAGGCTCTGTGGACCACGAGCTGCAGCAGATCATCCGGGACAACCTCTACCTCCGCACCGTCCCCTGTGAGTTACCTTGCTCTCACCCTACCTTCCTTCATACCCTTGTCTCCTCCAGTGGGAAGCCTTTTCTCCCTCTCGAGGCTCCATCTCGTAGAGTGTCAGAATTGAGCTTTATTGTTATGTCAGTGGATATGGTGCATACTTGACACAGCTGACAACCAGAACTCGAGGACCAGTCACTCACTTGTTTATTTTACTGTACAAGAAGCCCTAAAACTCTCTGAATCATGGGAGGTTTGATGATAGGCAGACTCAATCTGCCCTGTTTGATACGGCCAAAGAGCGCCAGAGCAAGCAGCTGAGTGGACATTTGAGTTAAGATGGTTTTAGAGGTTCCAAAGCTCATGGATGGACCCTCAAACTCAACATACTACAACATTTTTGTATCAAATTACGACAAACTTATTGAGGCAGAGTAAAGCTCATAGATACTGGTTGGTTTCTTGAGCGTCAGGGGAAGTATTTCAGGCTACGTTTGCTTCTCAAATCAGATCTTTAAAACAGACTGTTCAGGTGTTTGCAAGTGCTCAGGTTGGATTTGTGTGTCTAGACATCACCAACCTATCTGCATGGGTTGCTGTGGTAACGATGTAGGCGTCAAGTAATTACTACACTGGTGAACGTGGCTTCCTAACAGGGGAGCATGAGAAGTGGAGGTCTCTAAACCATACCCTTTTCAAGTCATACTGTGCAGAGCTCCTCCGTCGTACCAGACAAATTCAAGTAGAGCTGGGTGATATGACCTCAAATCAACATCACGAGTAATTGAACATTTTACCTCGATAATAATTACTGAAGGGTTTTTTTGTTGTTGTTGTTTTTTGCCCTCATAGTACACTGACAAGGTTTGTACTGTAAATCTGCTGAACTGTTGAAGCTGGGATAATTTTTTAATGAAAGAGTGCATATCTTTGTGATTTTAAAATAATTGAAGGAAACACACAGATGAACAGTTCATGGTTATTTATTGAAAATTTCGATATTTTGAATATTGTGTAGCCTTTGTAAATGTTTGTGTTATCGAGAGCTGCTTTGTGGAGGCACTTGTTGCCGGGCGCTTTCTTTTTTGAGCCGTGCACTGTTCATATTCAGTTACGTGATTGTACTCCAAGTGCTACAACAGATTGGTGGTAATATCTCTGGTTGCTGAAACTGTTTTTTTCACAGTGTTTACATAAGTGTAGAGGTTAGAGCACTCGTCTTCTATGCGGAAGGTCCAGGGTTTGAATCCTGCTGGGGTCGACGTCAGCAAAGACACGCGGTCCCAAGAGGTTCCCACCGCCAAAGGAAACTTCAGGATAAAAGAGTAACTCTGGAACCTGAGCCAAGTCCTCGGTGAGGGCGCGTCTCAAGCCCGTTGTAGACGGGAGGTTCCAGACGTAAAAAGCGCATTCATTGTTTACATTTGATTTCTTTCTGTTGCATTGCATAATTCTGTTGAAAGCCAAAATGTGCCCAAACGACGGACATGGCATTTCTCTTTGGTACAATCTGCTCAAGTTGCTCCTTCAGCTCGGTGTTTGAATTCTTCTCCATGTTGCTTCCAGGTTGCGGACTTGAGGGGGCGGAGTCACGTGACTACACACGCAGTAGTTTTTAAGGGGACAGTACATGAACTTACATACGGTGGGGAAGGTATTAACAGAATGTAAAAAACACTGAAATCACCAACATGGGCAAGATTACGTCGGTTAGAGGTTCCGACTAATTGCCCAGCCCTAAGTTCAAGACAGTTTATTTCAGCATCTGTCCCAGAGTCCTGCATGCGTCTGATTTTGAATACCTGCTCCCAAACCACAATTGCGACATGTAATACCGCACTCACCCCGCCACGCTTACATAAGACCAGTCAGTTTTACAACCCGAAATAACAAATCCTGTTAAAGCCATTCACTGTTCTGATCATTTTGTTAGCCAGCACATTCAAAAGGACATTTTATATTATATCTTTGAAAGAAGGTAATTCATGAAATACAATATAAATGAATTTTCCGCGTATGTTAATAATATTGCGCAGCACATCTCCACCGTTAACATGCCTATTCGTAACCCACCAGAGCCGACACACAAAGTAAGCAGTTACAGGATTATTTTTTCACCCAGAACTTGACATGGAAATAAAATTAAGACAAAATACCACTAGTGACTCACTTTTTTTGCAAAGGTACCCGACCTTTTTTGGTACCCGACCCGATGCAGGACTCTGGCGTGTTAACAGATAGTTGTCGTCCATAGCGCTCTAATAACAGCAGCAGGGATTCTGCTTGTCACCTCCCGTCACTCTGGATCTGACGTCACTTTCAAATCTGATTTTAGCAGCCAAAGCGTCCACACTTGGAGAAATCCGATTACAACCACATTTCAGATCACCTACAAATGTTGTTTGGATCCAATTTCTTTGTCTGTTAGTCTTTTGCTGTCCAGACTTTCTAAAATCAATCTGGATACAATTCAGATATGACAAAAAAATTAGCTGATTTGGGCTGGCAGTCTGAACAAGGTCCAGTTGCTAAGCTGCTATGTAGAGTCTCAGGTCAACAGGACTTCTCTAACAGGTCAGTCTGACCATTCTTCTGGCTTCTTATCAAACCCTATGAAAAATACAGTATGTGTTGAATCAGTGTGATGTGATGAGATTTGCTTCAGTCCCAAGCCTCCCAGTCACCTGTGTGTTGTAGTAATCAGCCTCTGTTGTTGTGTTGGTGTAGCTGGAATCAGACTTGTCTGGATTTGTTTCGATTGTCTAAAATCAGGCGTCGACTGCAGCTCTCTGTCTCCAATTAGCCGCATTAACTGCATCACACAGTTGAGCAGCCGAGTGTTGTGTAGACAATCAAAGATAAGATTTGGAGGGCTTTAAGATATTGATGCTCAGTGTTTTTAGTTCAGGAAAGCATTTCAAACTGTGTGTGTGTGTGTGTGTGTGTGTGTGTGTGTGTGTGTGTGTGTGTGTGTGTGTGCGGCCTTTATCAGACTTATTAAGCCCCCAGTGCTTTTATGAGCTTAGACTCACTGATGTTTAATCCATTTCCCTCTGATTCTTATTTGCCATGTTTACTGAACATATGCTCATTGCCATCAGTCAATAGGCTGTGATATTAAAGTGTCTGTTTGTTTGTGTGTATCCAAGCTCTTATCTGTGTATGTGTGGTGTTTGTGTGTGTGTGTGTTAGCTCTGCATTAGCCTAGTCGTGCCATTAGGCCCAGCTGTCTGTTGGCTAACTCTCCCCTGAATCCTTAATGGAGGTGCATTCTTCAAGGCCAGGAGCACACAGATTTCACCGGAGCCACTTTTCCGCCTCCCTCTCTGAAAGGGAATACAACAGGAGAAACGGGGGGGAAAAAGAGCTATTTGTTTGCAACAGAAGCGTAATTTTCTCTGATAACCACTCACAGAGGCGCTGCCGGTGAGGCATCGCAGATAGAGGAAGAGGTGAACAGTAAAGAGGGAGAACAAATGGGAGAACAAATAGAGGGAGAGAGACACAAAAGGGGATGTGGGGGAAAGGGGGAGGAGGCATAATGATGGGACACAGACGATGATAACCACATAAGTAAATGGACTGCAGATAAACTGTTGCAGAGCGAGGGAGAGAGGTAAGGGGAGGTTAACTGATGCATTAATGAAGCTTCAACAATGAGCCTCAGTGCTGCTGAGAGGAAGAGGCCGAGTCATGACTGAGCCGGGCTTTTTATATCTGAACTGATGGATGGATCCATGTTTGGTATACACACACACATATTTGTGTAAATGCTGCAATTTTCTTTTCATTTTCTGTCCTATGTGTTTGGTTCCTTTTTAGGCTTTTTTAAAAAAAAATCCGAGCTCTCTTTTTCACAACTTTCTATGCTCATATTCCATTCACGTCTGAACCGGTACACGTACCTGGAATTTGGCACCTTTTCTGGCACTTTACTTTCTCTGAAATAACAAAAGTGTAATTACCTCTGCCAGGCTAAAACCTAGAGGAGAACACCCTTTCAGTCGTGTGTGCGGGTGTGTTTCTTTGTCCGCAGCTTTTCTCACAGACTACTGGACCAAGCCTCCTATTTTGTGTGCACATTTATGGCTGTACGCTCAAGGACTTCCCATGACCGAAATGATTCACAATTATTGAAAAAGTATTTTATTGACTGTTTTATACCGTATACATCCAAAGAAGGTTGGCCTCATTTTGAACTGGAGCATTTGCATATTAGTACCATACCAGACATTTTGTGATCCTGACTGTAGGGGCGGCACGATGGTGCAGTGGTTAGCATTGTTGCCTCAAAGTAAGATGGTTCCTGGTTCAAACCAAAGGTGGAGGAGCCCTTCTGTGGAGTTTACATGTTCTCCCTGTGCCAGTGTGGGTTTTCTCCAGGTAGTCCAGCTTCTTCCCACAGTCCGAAGATAATTGGTGACTCTAATGTGAATGTGAGCGTGAATGGTTGTTTGTCTCTGTGTGTCAGCCCTGTGATAGTCTGGTGATAGGCCCCAGAAATTGGTAAGGTATCAAAAGGAATATTGAATTTCTCTGTAACGCTAACGTTTTTAGCGCATTGGCAAACATTAGCTTTGATGGCAAAACAAACTGGAGAAAATCGTTCAACTGGCGTCCTCCTTTATAAATCAACCACAAAGCTTCCTGTGACATCATCCATCCACTGAATGAGAGCAAATGGGTCAGCCAGTCTGGTCCTGTTGTTCAGTGTTTACCTGACATGGTGCGTTTGTATATTCAGTCTGACGCTCTACACTAGAATGAGTGCTCTGTTGCTCGTAGAAATGGAGCGTTATATTTATATATAAATTTACAAACGGTCCAGTTTGTGCCAGAGTGCACTCCAGCACTCGTAATGAGTATTTCCGAACACCCCACTGCGATCATATTCCTCCATTGTCTAAAACAAGCCAGCAGAACTTGTTAGCTAGCGTTAACTAATGTCTGTAGAGAATTGTTTTGCCTCCAGCTAAGCCCCGCCCACCAAAAAACATCATCAACATCAAAGGGTCTATTTCC